AAGTGGGAAACTGGCTTAAAGCCAGTTTTCCACCTCAACCGTATCGTATCGTAACGTGTCGTAGCATTTTCATTTGTGTCGAAGTCATTACTTTCACACTAGTGCTCAGGAAACAAAGAAATACGCTACGCTTCGCTACGATACGGTTGAAGCGGAAAACCGGCTTTAGACAGTACGTTTCATTACAAAGACAGCTAGTTTTCGTAACTAAATTTCACTTCTGTCATGAAATGTATTTATATATCTTGAAAATCTATTTTAATTATATCGAACTCAATTGTATATCCGGCTATTCATGCATGGCATTGCTGTTGCCTTGACTTTTTTCAAGCACTCGTAATTACTCAGTACAATGATCATATAGATGAGTATATGTTTCTTGTAGCGAGATCAATAGCGCTATACTCCCATATATAAGTTAATTCGAAAGATAAAAGTAAAAAAGAAACATTTCCATGACCATGGTTTCGGCTATCTATTTAATACATGAATATTTTTATAGATGAAACATTACATATCATCTCCAATGGCAATGATCGAGTAACGTAATGTCGTTAAGAGAAACTTGAACTAAATTTTAAATATTTGGCATATACTTCGCTCATCAATTCGATGCTCTGTATTAATTTCGTATACTTTAGGTTTTAGATAATACGTCCTAGTGCGGCAATAACATTCGTGCCATACGTAAACACGTATAATTATCAATCCTTATCTTACCTTCGTCGCAGTTCTTGCAGACAGGAATAACACAAGCGATGTCCGCATTCCTCCAACTGCACTGGATCTCGGTAGGCTAACTGACAGATAGGACATTCGTATTCGTTGGGTAAAGTCGAAACAAATTCAGCTTCGTAGCCGCCAATTTCACGTTCAGTTCTATTCGCCATATTTACGACAACTTTGTTAAAGCTTGCAGGTGGTTTTAGATCTGGTGTTTTTGTCAATATTCCGGTTTGATGAATATTTAATTAGTTTGCTTTTCAGCAGATGTTAAATTCACATATTGAAATTAAAAAGGCAGCGTAAAGTTTGAAGGAAACCAGAATGCGAGAGTTTGCTTGAGGGTTTCCTTAACTCGCGTGGCTGAACCATCGAAGGTATAATTATAACGAAAGCTTCCCGGAGATTAAGCTGGCACAAAACGGAGAATGGAGTAGGAAACGGAAACTGGAGTTTTAAATTAATTTTTATTGCCTCCCAGCTAGGTGATTTGGAAAAATTAACAATAACCGAATATTAAAAGCGACTTTATATCCCCGAGCCGACGGCGCGAAGCGCTGTGCGAGGGTACTAATTCCCCCCGGCTATTTACACCTGGGGAAACGAAAGCATTAGCGAAGTCTAAAGTTTATCAATTATCGCGGGCGCTGACCAACGAACGACGATCTTGAGTAGGCGGTCATCCTCACTTATCTCAAAAATATGGCAAGCAAGATTTCAATTTTAAAAGACATATATTTGGAAAATCGTTTCATATACAACAAGCTTGAAGCAATTTTGTTTGAAGAAATGAGAATAGTAATAGTAATAGTTTATTAAAAAAACCCTTGCAGTAGAAACTGAATTACAGGTCATTACAAAAATCTTATTTACAAATATTATTTGCAGTATTTAAAACTTATACAAAATTATTTGAGAGGTGCACATAATTTATTATAGTTAAAAATGAATGTATAACTAGACAATAGAGTTATTAGGTTCAACGATCACAGTTCAGGTCGCATACTTAATGGTAACGAATTTCTGAAACCGGTCTGTTCGCATCCTGATATTCCTCGCAACATTGTCAGATCTAAGTTTATAACCATGGTTCACTGGTGCTGACCGGCTATGAACAATTGGATAGAGTGGGTTTCCAGGTAGGATTGTCTTCACAAATCTCTTACAGGCGGCGTCCCTCCGTAAGACAAGCGGTTCGATACCAGCTAGTTTTAGGGCATCATCATAGGAACAGTTAGGGTATATTATGGCCAGTGCTCGTTTCTGGACCCTTTCAAGATCGTCGCTAAGATTTTGAGGAAGGTTGGCGGAAACGACAGAAGCATATTCCAATACTGATCTTATAATTGCACAATAAACATATAGGATGTCTGTTGGGGCTACCCCACTCCTCTTAAGCTTCCTCAACGCATATAAACGCCTATTGGATTTCTTAATAATGTATTCGCAATGCACAGACCATGTTAAATCACTGGTAACATACACTCCAAGCAGTTTAAATGATGAAACAGATTCCACGCGTGTTGCACCAATGATGATAGGATGCAAAACACTAGTATTGAAATGAAGAAAGTTAACAATCATATCTTTACACTTGGCAGGATTCAGCTTCATATTGTTCACTTCAGCAAACGAGTGTATATCTGCCACGATATGATTCATCAAGGAAGGGGAATTTCTGGGTACAATTTCCAAAGCGGTAAGATCATCAACGAACTTAGCACGGGGGCCCCACGCAGACAAAAGTTCATTCACCATTACGGCAAAGAGGATCGGGCCAAGCTTAGTACCTTGTGGAATACCACCATTGATATATTAAAGTGTAGATGCATCCGACCCATGCAATACGAACGAACTGAGACCTTTTATATAAAAAGGCAGCAATCCATCCTAACACAACGTTATGATTGCCAAGTTTAGATAGTTTATCAAGTAGAATCTTGGAGTCAATCAGATCAAAACCCTTGCGGAAATCAGCAAAGAAAAATCGGGGGGTGCAACCACCCTTGTCAAGGGCCTCGAGGGCTAGATGTAGAATATATACTATAGCCTGTTGCGTAGATTTTCCAGCCATAGCAAATTGTTTGTTATCCAAGTGACTTACAATGGATGGCATGATTCTCGCTAAGGTGAGACCTTCCATCACTTTAGCAATTTCGCAAGTGAGTGAGATGGGTCTGATACCATTTTCAATGGAGCCCGGTGGAGATTGTTTGGGAAGAGGTGTAAGAGTTGCTCTCTTTAATAGAGGAGGCAAATAGGCATCACGTAAGGATGAGTTATAAATATCAGCTATTACTGGCGCTAACTCAAAGGCAAACGTTTTTAGAATTACATTCGGGATTCCATCCGGTCCCGGGGCTTTCCCTGTCTTTAAAGAACAAAGGGATTTATAAACTTCGCCAGTTGAAACCAAGAGATCACCCGCAATACCAGAATCACCAGCAGAATAGTTAGAAACATCGTCCTGTGAGAGAGGCGTAAAATCTTTTGTGAGATTTACAAAGAAATGATTGATTCTTTCGCATAACGTATTAACGGAATCTACAGTTTCACCATCAATGAGGTGCTCAAACCATTGGTTATTTCTGTCAGCCATACCAGAAAGATTTTTAACCTCTCTCCACCATTTGCTTGCGTCCGTGACTTTTAGGTTTCTAACTTTAGACTTATAATACGATTCCTTACATTCTTTGATGGATTGAGCAACTTTATTTCTCCAAAATTTGAAGGAAGAAGACTCCTTCCCATATTTTGCCATACATGTTTGCCTTTTCCTAATCAATGATTTTATCTTGCTTGTCATCCAAGGCTTGTCGGAGCGGCATTTACGTACTGCCTTCATAGGTAAATATTTTTCAACAGCTCCTAAAAGAATACGATGGAAACATTCAGATTTTTCTTGACACAAACCTTTCGAGATCACCTCTTGCCATGAAAACGAGGTTATCCACTGGCCAAATTCTCGAATTCGACTATCACGGGTGTCTCGTCTAAAGATAGTCTCTTTGGGCGGTGGTTTTGCTCGAGGCAATTCCTGCCTGACAACAAAGCAGTAATGGTCGCTGGAGCCAATCTTGGGTAATTTCTCGGGTACAGACATAATTTTAGGTTTATTTGTTAAACACCAATCAAGGATGCCTGAATCTCTTGTGAAAACTTTTACAATCTGCGCCAGGCCGCATAACTGACGAAAGCGGCTGGAAGATATATTGGTTGAATTGGGATTAAAAAGAATTGGTTTACTACGGGAAATCGTGAAATATACGGCAAGTTTACTTTGAATATTTTTAAAATGTTTACGAATTTTGTTGCTTTAACTTTTTACGTAATATAAAACATGAACTATAGAAGCTCTAAGTTTCATAAATTACCGTTTAATTTGAGAAAAAATATTAAAATGTAAAGGCGAACAAATTTACTTGAAGACTGAACTGAAATTACATTTCAAAACATTTTACGAAGCGTTTCAAGTTAAATTTTACATTAAATCAAAGCTCACAAAATGCAAAATAATATACCTACAGTATGTATTTCGGAAATTTATTGTTGTATAGTTAAAAGTACGAATCTTTCAACTATTTTGCAGTTTTGTACAAAATATATGAAAATAAAAATTTAAGAATATCGTGTTGTCATGGCAACACCTGAGCGCGAGCATGCGTTCAGTGCTGGTCATTTCTGAATACTTCATGTTTAATGTATGGCAATATTGGCGAGGGGTTACTGCTCAACACGAGTTCTACGTGTTCAACACGAGAAATAAATCTGGTATTTCCAAGAACCATGTATTTTTCTGTTTATTATATAAAGGACAGTCTTTGAGAAGCGATAATTTTTACAGAAAAGCGATAATTGAAAAGCAATAATTTTCACATGTGAGATTATCATGCATGAATAATCTCACATGTGAGATTATCACTTTTATCAGTGCTCGAAATCTCTATAAAGCACTATACTTTATATAATAAAAAAAAAACATATCATATATAAGATGCACCCATGCAAGTCAGGTTTTTGGGCAACTCACTCGATACTAGAACTAATTAATTTTGAAGGGCTTTCGTAGATGAAAATTTCGGGTGTAAATTTGACATATTTTTAGACCTAAACATGAGTCCAGAACCGCATGTTCGATATTTCCAAGAGGCCTATGGCTGCTCCTAATTAGACATAAAAAAAAGGTATAAAATTTATACTCTGTCTCACTCTTATACACTCAAATAATTCAGAAGAATTTGCGTGATATCCTGCTAAAATCTTAACAGTTCTGCCAGGCTTTAATTTTATATGGTTTTCATACAGTTGCTTTATACTGCGCTATTAATCAAAGAAAAAAAAATCAAAGATCCATCTACTTTATTTAACCATTACATTTAAAGTTATAACAGTATTTTAGCAAAGTGCTTAAGTTACCAAGTTATACAAACTTAACAATATTATGAATGAATATAGCTACTTTCGCACTCTCAGTGTTAAAAGTGCTACTAAACTTGAACAATGCCACAGACGTTGGCCACACTTGTTTTGTACTTATTTCTGACATGATTATTAAAACACGATTACAAAGACGAATAAATGAAATCAACTGCATATAAACAAAATTTACAATGACTATTTTATGACGAAGAGTATACAAAAAATATAAAAGAATAAAGAAAGTTTTTTACTTACAATTTTCGTGAGCCTGTCTGGTTGTTGGTTTCCAAATTGGTTTTGTATTTTTTATCAGAAATGTGATAAAGGCTATACAGACTACAATACTTAAAAGGTGCTATAACAGCTATGATTTTTTCTTAACCTGCACACCCCCGCATGTCTTAATTGCTTTCTACGGGTAGTGTAGTGGGAAACATACTTACTATACTCTATACTACTATAAGTTAATAAAGAACTATTGTACAGCACGCATCAAAGAAAGGTGTGTATATCGCCAATTTTCTTTTTTCGCGTATTTCGGGTGATCATGAACTATTGCAAATCATATTTATGAATTCGAATCTGATGGATTATTTCATGATCAAGTCTTTAAAGTAGTTCAAGATAAAAGTCGGAAAAACGAACGCTCAAGATCGTTGTTAAAATATTTTGTGAGTTTGCATGCCGAGATGTTTTCCACATACAGGCAGCGCCTCCTGTTAGGAAAATGCTCGCAAATTAGAAGAAAGTGGATAAATCGAAAATGTTATTTTGACCACAATGTTTAATTAATTAGATCTGATTAATATGGCAATTTTGTCGTAAATATATCGAAAGGCATATCATTGGATAGTTAATAAAATAATCATATAAATATTTAAGCTTGCATTTCTTTTATGACACACCATGAAAACTATATAAATAATAATTGTAATAATTGTAATAATAATAATTATAATAATAATATTAATAAACTATATAAATAATAAATATGAAGATAGAAAGTCTGTGGTACAAGCACTAATAATGTCAAGGATAGACTACTGTAACAGTCTTCTATTTGGTGTCACAGATGTACATCTGTCTAAACTACAACGGCTACAAAATACAGCAGCATGTCTTATCTCATAGACGGATTTTCATATTTTTTACTGGGGTGGTGCCAGAAATTTTAGGGGGGTGAGCCGTGAGCAGGTGACTGAAGCAACACAAAGTGTCACCAAACCCCAGTAAGGTCTATATTCTAGGGGTGGAGCACTAGAGCCACGAGGGGGAGTCTAAAGAGCAGAAAACAAAGTATCCCTGGAAAAATTTGAAAAAAATCATGATTTCTAGCTTCGAAAAAAGTTTTTTGAAGAGTGTCATATCAATGGATTTGGCATGTCCGTTTGTCTGTTGAGACTTGAGAGAGTTAAAGTTAAATGAACCTGTAAAAGTGTAAACCCAATAGGCCAATACACAATATGCTTTTACTTTTAGAAAGTCATTAACATTGTACGTGTTGTTTGAATCCGAGTACAATTTATGATGCAACTCTGATATAAATAATATTTGGGGCATAAAGATTAAATCTAGGCAAGTCTATTTCCTAATGTTCGTAAAAATTCCAAACGTTCCTTGCAAGCAAGCTATTTGCATGACAAGGCACTACAAACTCTATTCAGGGGAGATAATAGAGTTTCAAAACTTTACAATTGCTCCAATAAATCAGTGAATGCAAGCGAGAAGCGATTAGTTTCAGAGTGTTGCAATGTCTTTTACTATTTGAGTGCACTCCTACGTTTGTTTTGTATCATCAACACTCTGCATTTTGGAGTGGACTATTTAATTATTTTTTATTATGCCGAATATTGGGGGGGGGGGGTTTGAAAACTTTTTGGAGGGGTGGACATTTTGTTTGAGGGGGTTGTAGCTAATATTGGGGGTAGCACCCCCCCCCCCCCC